TCGGAAGCAAGCAGGAGTGGCCATACTCATATCGAATAAAATCAACTTCAAACCTAAGTTCATCAAAAGGGATAAAGAAGGACACTATATACTGTTAAAAGGAGCCATCCACCAAAAAGACATAACAATTATCAATTTGTATGCACCAAACAATGGTGCTGCAACGTTCATAAAACAAACTCTCCTCAAGTTCAAGAGTCAAATAGACTACAACACAATAATTATGGGTGACTTCAACACACCGCTCTCACCATTAGACAGATCCTCTAGACAAAAGCTGAATAAAGAAACTATAGAACTCAATAGCACAATCAATAACCTAGACTTAACCGACATATATAGAATATATCAACCATCATCAAGTGGATACACGTTCTTCTCAGCAGCACATGGATCCTACTCAAAGATAGACCATATATTATGCCATAGGGCAACTCTTAGTAAATATAAAGGTGTGGAGATAATACCATGCACCATAGCTGATCATAATGGAATGAAACTGGAAATCAATGATAAAAGAAGGAAGGAAAAATCCTACATCACATAGAAAATGAACAATATGTTACTGAATGATCAATGGGATACAGAAGACATAAAGGAGGAGATAAAAAAATTCTTAGAGACAAATGACAATACAGACACAACATACCGTAATCTATGGGACACAATGAAAGCAGTTTTAAGAGGGAAATTCATTTCCTGGAGTTCTTTCCTCAAAAAAAGAAAAAACCAACAAATAAATGAACTCACACTACACCTCAAAAACCTAGAAAAGGAAGAGCAAAACAACAGCAAATGTAGTAGAAGACAAGAAATAATTAAAATCAGAGCAGAAATCAACGAAATCGAAACAAAAAAAACCATTGAAAAAATTAATAAAACTAAAAGTTGTTTCTTTTAAAAAATAAATAAGATCGACAGGCCGTTAGCCATGCTAACGAAGAGAAGAAGAGAGAGAACTCAAATTACTAACATACGGGATGAAAAAGGCAATATCACAACAGACACTACAGAAATACAGAAGATAATTAGAAAGTATTTTGAAACCCTATATTCCAATAAAATAGAAGATAGTGAAGATATCGATAAATTTCTTAAGTCATACGATCTGCCCAGATTGAGTCAGGAAGACACACACAATTTAAACAGACCAATAACAAAGGAAGAAATAGAAGAAACCATCAAAAGACTATCAACCAAGAAAAGCCCTGGACCGGATTGGTATATAGCGGAGTTTTACAAAACCTTCAAAGAAGAATTAATACCAATACTTTTCAAGCTATTTCAAGAAATAGAAAAAGAAGAAGTTCTTCCAAATTCATTCTATGAGGCCAACATCACCCTGATCCCGAAACCAGACAAAGACATTTCAAAGAAAGAAAACTACAGACCAATATCTCTAATGAACTTGGATGCAAAAATTCTCAATAAAATCCTGGTGAATCAAATACAAAAGCATATCAAAAAAATGTGCACCATGATCAAGTAGGATTCATCCCTGGGATGCAAGGCTGGTTCAATATACGGAAATCAATAAATGCTATTCACCACATCAATAGACTTAAAGATAAGAACCATATGATCATCTCGATAGATGCAGAAAAAGCATTCGACAAAGTACAGCATCCCTTTATGTTCAAAACACTAGAAAAACTAGGAATAACAGGAACTTACCTCAACATTGTAAAAGCTATATATGCTAAATCTCAGGCTAACATCATCCTAAATGGAGAAAAACTGAAGGCATTCCCTCTAAAATCTGGAACAAGACAGGGATGCCCTCTATCACCACTTCTATTCAATTTAGTTCTTGAAATAGTAGCCAGAGCAATTAGACAGACAAAAGAAATTAAAGCCATAAAAATAGGAAAAGAAGAACTTAAATTATCGCTATTTGCAGATGACATGATAATATATTTAACAGACCCAAAAGGGTCTACAAAGAAACTGCTAGAGTTAATAAATGAATTCAGCAAAGTGGCAGGATATAAAATCAACACGCATAAATCAAAGTCATTCCTGTATATCAGCAACAAAACTTCTGAAATGGAAATGAGGAAAACCACTCCATTCACAATATCCTCAAAAAAATAAGATACTTGGGAATCAACCTAACAAAAGAGGTGAAAGATTTATACAATGAAAACTACAGAACCCTAAAGAGAGAGATAGAAGAAGATCTTAGAAGATGGAAAAATGTACCCTGTTCACGGATAGGCAGAACTAACATCATCAAAATGGCGATATTACCCAAAGTTCTCTACAGGTTTAATGCAATGCCAATCAAAATCCCAACGGCGTATCTTGTAGAAATAGATAAAGCAATCATGAAATTCATATGGAAAAACAAAAGACCCAGAATAGCAAAAGCAATTCTAAGCAGGAAGTGTGAATCTGGAGGTATAGCGATACCAGATCTCAAACTGTACTACAGAGCAATAGTAACAAAAACATCATGGTACTGGTACCAAAACAGGCAGGTGGACCAATGGTACAGAATAGAGGACACAGAGACAAATCCACAAAATTACAACTTTCTTATATTTGATAAAGGGGCTAAAAGCATGCAATGGAGGAAGGATAGCATCTTCAACAAATGGAAATCCATATGCAACAAAATGAAACTGAATCCCTTTCTCTCGCCATGCACAAAAGTTAACTCAAAATGGATCAAGGAGCTAGATATCAAATCAGAGACACTGCATATGATAGAAGAAAAAGTTGGCTACGATCTACATACTGTGGGGTCGGGCTCCAAATTCCTTAATAGGATGCCCATATAATAACAAGAATAAACAAATGGGACCTACTTAAACTAAAAAGTTTTTTCTCAGCAAGAGAAACAGTAAGAGAGGTAAATAGAGAGCCTACATCCTGGGAACAATTTTTTTCCCCTCACACTTCAGATAGAGCCCTAATATCCAGAGTATACAAAGAACTCAAAAAATTAGACAATAAGATAACAAATAACCCAATCAACAAATGGGCCAAGGACATGAACAGACACTTCTCAGAGGAGGACATACAATCAATCAACAAGTACATGAAAAAATGCTCACCATCTCTAGCAGTCAGAGAAATGCAAATCAAAACCACCCTAAGATACCATCTCACTCCAGTAAGATTGGCAGCCATTATGAAGTCAAACAACAATAAGTGTTGGCGAGGATGTGGGGAAAAGGGTACACTTGTACATTGCTGGTGGGACTGCAAATTGGTGAGGCCAATTTGGAAAGCAGTATGGAGATTCCTGGGAAAGCTGGGAATGGAGCCACCATTTGACCCAGCTATTGCCCTTCTCGGACTATTCCCTGAAGACCTTAAAAGAGCGTACTATAGGGATACTGCCACATCAATGATCATAGCGGCACAATTCACAATAGCTAGACTGTGGAACCAACCTAGATGCCCTTCAATAGATGAATGGATAAAAAAAAAATGTGGCATTTATACACAATGGAGTATTACGCAGCAATAAAAAATGACAAAATCATGGAATTTGCAGGGAAATGGATGGCATTAGAGCAGATTATGCTAAGCGAAGCTAGCCAATCCTTAAAAAACAAATGCGAAATGTCTTCTTTGATATAAAGAGAGCAACTAAGAACAGAACAGGGAGGAAGAGCATGAGGAAAAGATTAACATTAAACAGAGACGAGTGGGGGGAGAGAAAGGGAGAGAGAAGGGAAATCATATGGAAATGGTAGGAGACCCTCAATGTTACACAAAATTACATATAAGAGGTTGTGAGGGGAAAGGGGGGGAAACGGGAAAGAATTGAACAACAACAGATGAGGTAGAGAGGGAAGATGGGAGGGGAGGGTACGGGGGATAGTAGGGGATAGGAAAGGTAGCAGAATACAACAGTCACTAATATGCCATTATGTAAAAATGTGAGTGTGTAACCGATGTGATTCTGCAATTTGTATTTGGGGTGAAAATGGGAGTTCATAACCCACTTGAGTCAAATGTATGAAAGATGATATATCATGAGCTTTGTAATGTTTTGAACAACCAATAAAAAAAAATATATCACAGATTTTCACTTGAGGTTGGTCATATAAAATTATGTGGAGATATTTTTCAAATGCAATAGCAAAACCACAAGACTTTACTATGCTGTATATGTTGGGATAGGTAGGAACAGGGCAGAATGGTTGGGAGGTGCCCTGCAAGGTAATTGTAATTTTAAAGTATTTGTTGATGCTTATCTTGGCTTCTGCATCTCACTGCAGTTTTTTCTTTAAGAACACTGAAAACAATTTTAAAAGAAACTTATAGTCAAAGCAATATGTATTTATCTCAACTATGTTTGAATTAATAATTTTAACTTTGATCATCCAGTGAGCAAATAAGCCAGAAATTGTGAAAGTTATATTTATTTTATTATTAAATGATTAGAACTTCTCAACACCCTATTACGCTTTAGGACATAATAGTTTAGACAAGGAAAGTTTTATTTCACTAAAGTTAATATTAATCTCAAAAGTAGTAATGTCTGTCATTTCTTGGACACTTACTGTGTCAGAGGCTATGTTAAGAACACTAACCTAAGTTATTATAATTTCATGTTTGCAGTAACACCAGGAGACAGGTACTGGTGAGGGAAGATACAACCTCAGGGACAAATGGCTCTTGGCAAGGCAGATGTGCTTTTGTGCAAACTCTTCTGTGGAGATTGTACACTGAGTTACCTTTCCAGAGCCTATGACTTTTACTGCTATAGTTTGCCATTTCTTATTTTTAAGAAAACTACAGTCTGTGCTGGACATTTCTCTTACAGTAGCTGTAGTAATTGTTCATTGTGGTTTAACTAATTGGCTGCTGTTTACTGAGCACCTGCTCTTTGCATTGTTTTGAGAATTTCTTATTCTGTATGTATATGTATATCATATTATATGTGATTATATGAGGGAAAATCTGCTATTAATATTTTTGATATAAGTGAAAATTTAATATTGTGAAGTAAATGAAAAATTAACATATTTGATACTTTTCAGTTTATAGATGGTCGACTGGCAAAACTAAATGCAGGAAGGGGTTTCTCTGATGTATTTGAAGAAGAAATCAGTTCAGGTGGCTTTTGTGGAGGTAAAACCTATTTACAATATTATTATCCATTTTTAAAATAACAATTACCTTGATTTTTGTACTTGAATTTATATATTCTGTTTCATAAACAACTCTTTTCTTCTGTATATACATAATGTCTTAAGTATATTTTTCATCTTATAATATCAATATCAAGTAATTTTGTTTGATATCTGTTATTCAAGGCATTAAGTTTGTCTTCATGAATTAGTAGCTGTTGACTTAGACAATCTCCTAATAATACTGCAAATGAATAATAGAAGTCCAATAAATATGTATCCTTTTGCCTTTCCTCCTAAATAGTTGTCTCTACCAGAAAATAATTGTAGTGGTAATTTCTGAGTATGAATTTAAAAACTGAGATTCGGATTGAAATGGCACATGTAATATAATCTAAAGGGAAATATGTGAACACCATAACTCATTCTGCATTTTTATGTAAGTGTATTATTTTATGGAAGTCTTTTCCTATTTTACTTTGCAGATCACTTCAGCTTTAGGAAAAGTATATCATTACATAAATATAACTAATTCTACAGCCCTCTGGTGTATTGTATTTATGGTGTCACGCAAGATTCCCATAAGTATAATTAATTATTCAAATGTAAATATCCCAAAATATAATTATATGGGCAACTAATGATTTATAGATTGATGTTTTGTGCACATATGTTCTAGTATATAGTCGCAACTTACATAGAATTTTGGTTGAGTCCTTGAAATGTCCCATTTATTCATTCATTCAGGCAGTATTACTGAGTCCTTACTATGTATTGTTCTAGATACCAGGCAAGCAAAATAAAGATTTTTTTCCCTCATATCTTGGTGTGTTTGTTTTTAACCTGGTATAATGGCGTTTTTTCCAACTCTTTGTAGTTATATTTGAAGAAAAGAAGTTTTTAGTCTGCATGAATAAATAGTTGTTAGAATTGAGAAAACATGAAATGATAAAAAGTCATAAGTATTCATCTATAAATTTAACAAATTTTAATTTTATTCTTAAATAAGATTTATTTCCTCACCTTAAAATATAGAAATAAATATACATTTTTTTCTAAAAGAAGTACAAATGAATTTTGCAATTGCAGACCTTTATCTAAGGTACAGCATTTTATTGATTGCATTTAGCTTGGGGAAAAAGTTCTATTTGACTTAGTAGGTAAGCTGCATATGGAATCATTCAGCTCCTTGCTTTCCTTAGCTCTTAGGGAAAAATTTAGCTTCAATGGAACTTTTGTGTTAAAATAATGCTGTTTTACTTTTCAACTAAGACAAGCAAAATATTGTCAGCTTATGGACAAATTGCTTGAGGCATCTATTCAGTATTTACATAACTGCTGTCTCATTATCTTTATGACCCGTGGGGCTAGTAGCTTTTATAGAATTGAAGTTGACATCTTGTGACAGTAATGGGGTAGAACTATGATCCTTTTATACAGTTAAATTCTGTGGTCTTAACCATTGCTCAAGATACCTCTGTAATAAAGTAGAAATAAATGGCTTTTCTGGTGGAAGAGGATAACTTAAGATTTTTTTTAATTAAAGATTTTATCACTTAAAAAATAATAGGGAAATATGATCACTGGTTATCATCTGACTTAGAGACTGCCACATTGTTAGTTCAACTCAATTTCAATTGCTTTGTTGTTCTTTAGTACAATTTAGTACAGAAAATGTTTTTGAGCTTTTATTCTAATTTGAGGGAGCAAATAACCTATCCCAAAGGAAATCCTAGTTCAGCAATTACTCATTTCAGTAAATAAAGAAGTACCTTAAAATAATACCTGTCAAATTTTATTTTTAGTTGTATTTTAGATTCTTTTAGATATACATGGAGATTATTCTTAGAAAATAAAGCATAATTCACTAGGATTTGAAATAAGAAAAATGACTAATAAAATTAGCAATATTCTTCTAACTACTAATTAGGACATATCTGTCTGTTTAGGATATATATCTGTCTGTTTATTTCCAAAAATATTTCTTGGTGGTCTCCTCCAAATGTGTCATCTAGTATACTCAGGAGAAGGAAGAGTACATCTGCCATGACATTCACCTGTAAAATGTAAACAGTAATAACTCTCATTTCTCTTACAGTAACTGTAGTAATTGTTCATGTTTATTGAGTACTAATATGTGTCAGAAATTCTCATTTTATTCTGACTACACTCTAAGAGGCACTTTGACTAGTCCATTTATATGAAGGCACTCAATTCAGTAATTCTCTCAAAGTCGCATAGGAAGTAGAGACCAGTCTAAACTCGGCACATATCTATCTAGTTTCAAAGCTCTTGTGGTAATGACTATAGCATATCTATGTTTTTATACTAGGAGATATTAATAAGGGAACAGGTTGTAAGCAAAAGTAGCACTTAAGCCCTCTCTTCTCTGAATAAAAGCAAAAGTCCTATATTTCTGACCATATCTTGAAGACTTGTTTATACATCAAGCACAGAAAAGATCACTGTAAGAGAAATCAACATTAACTAAAACTGAAGAACAAAATTAAGTTTCTTTAAGCAAAAATAATTAGGAAAATTTAGGGAAGCATCTATACATCATGACAGTAGTAATTTGTATGCTATTTTTGTTGCTAGTGTTTGTTTTATGATAAAATGATTGTTGAGTATGGTATAATTGTGGTTCTAATTAAAATTATACAAGGCAGTATAATCAGATATAGAACATTTAGATTCACATTTGAATCTAGAAATATGATTAAAGAGTCTGTGAATTCATAGAGATTTTATAAAACCTTTTTCTGTCCCATAAGTTTTCATATCAGGACTACTAAGCAATTCATGTTGTACTTGATTCTTTTCATCACTTTTGCAGAATGTTTAATCTTAATTTATAAGAATAGTATACCAGGAAATATATGAAGGGAAATGTATCCATGGATGTTGAAATATAAGAGGACATGAATATAACAAGACTCAATTAGGTAAACACAGATCATCTCAGAGCCACAGTTTCCTCATTTGACAAGTTATTCATAATAATAACTAACACTCATGATATTTCTGGGATGTGTTAGATACCCTGCTAAACATCATATCATCATTATCTTTCATACTCACATTAATCCTAAAAGCCATTGACTGTTAAGATGAATGATGAGGCTGAGACTCACCAAACTAAGGTTCTTTTTCCTAAATAGTCTGTGAAAGCCACTCAAGAAAGTTTAATAGGAATGTTGTTTTGTAAATATATTTTCAGTTAAAATAATACTAGTTTTTAAATCCTCATCAAATAGTCTAAACTTTAGAAAGGAGAACTATTTTAATGTTGATTTTTATATAGAAGTATGTGGGTACTCTTCATTAGTAGCATTATTTCCTCATTAGCTTCCTGATATAATCTGGTCAGATCTTTGTTTATTTCTTTTTACTGACTAAGGTATTAAAGAATTTGATGAGGTAGTAGATATTTATCAGTTTTAGTGGCATTTTTCTGGCCACATAAGCACTTTAAATCAATTTACATATTTTGATAAATAACTATACTTTACTGGAATTTAAACAAATACATTTGAAAAAACAGTCTTTGCATAAGTGAAAGCTAAAGATATTTTGTCCTTGAGTAAGTCAAAATGAGTTGTTTAATAAGAATGTTAAAATTTTTAAATAAGGCTTGTTAATTGCCTGAAACAGTTAACTTAAAAGAAACATTGATGGATTATTTTTTGCATTCAAATTAATTTTTAAGAAGAAAAGCAGCCTTATTTTTTTTTAACATTACCAAAGGATTATGTGATTGTCTCATAAGTTTCATAGAAATAGGAACCTTACTTATGTCATAAAACAGTAAAATTTAGGGATACAGTCCTTAAATTTTTTAAAACGGGAATCTACCTAAATTGTTTCACATTTTGCTGTCATCTTAACCAGTTTATTTATTCCTAGGGAATTACTGTTTGCCCTCATATGTCATAGTTTTATATTATTCTAGATTTTTAATTTCCCTTTCAAAGCTCTAGCTTGAGCAGCCCCTCTCCCTTTCTTCTTTTTCTTTTTTCTTTATTTTTTGGGGAGGGGATGGGAGTTGAACTTGGCAGGCACTCAACCACTGAGCCTGGTCCACAACCCTATTTTGCATTTTATTTAGAGACAGGGTCTCACTGAGTTGCTTAGTGCCTTGCTTTTGCTGAGGCTGGCTTTGAACTCATGATCCTCCTATCTCAGCCTCCAGAGCTGCTGGGATTACAGGCGTGCACCACTGCACCCAGCATCCCTTTCTAATGTAATTGCTTTGGAGGTGATACAGAGAAACCTCTGTATAACTTAAATGTTCTGATATTTTACTAAGTAGTCTTAGAGATAGTATTTCAGAGTTGAAAGAATAATGAACCAGGAATTAAAATGCCTAGATTATTCTTTCTTGGTTGTTAGACTTCCAAATTTGGACAAAGAATGTATCATCTCAGAACCACAGCTTCCTTATTTGGAAACTTATTAATAATAATTAATAATAACTAACATTTATGGTGGTTCTGTGATGTGTTAGGTACCCTACTAAATATCATATAATAATTATCTTTCATTCTTATATACATTAATCCTAAAAGTCAATGATAGGCTTTGACCAATAAGGAGGGTGAGACTCTGCTATTAAGAACCTAGTTCCATATCACATGGTTTGCAGGGTGGATCTGGACTACAAAGGTCTGTTGCACACCAAATGCTGCTTCCTTCCCATCCAGCTATGTTTCCTATGGCATTGCCTGCTTTGCCTGTTTTATAGTAGAAATGTTCAGATCGAATAACATAATGTAGATAAAAACATCTGTGACCTGTGGAGAGCTCAGTAGGAACTTTTTTTAAACCTTACAATCCTAAATAAGACACTAACCTTTCTATAACAGATCCATTGTCTTATCATAGCTATTTTCTTTGTGTTTGAGTATCCAAAAATGCTGAAGTGTTATATTATTGGCATTTCTCTGATTTCTTAAATTCATTTTAGGAAAATAATTAAATACTTTACAGAATAACTGTAAATAACATCTAAATCTTAAATTTATGATTTTCACTCAATCATTTTTAACAATAAAAAAGTAAAAAAATATATGAACTGATGAGACTTTTTAATAGACGAGTAAATAATCTGGATGAATAAAAATATGCACTTAATTTTATCATTAATAAAAATCTCCTTGAGAAATAAATTTATAGGATAACTTGGAATTTGTTATTTTACAATGGAAAATACATTTTAAAAAATTTGGACAAGCCAAGACCTCTTAAAGCTTACCCTTTTAAACTTATTTTACATAAATTATTTTAGGTAGATACATTTTTGTGTAGTCATTTACAAAATTAAAAAAAATATATAGTATTTCTCTCTAGATTATTTTCTCCAAAAAAGGCATAATGCAGTGTGGAGTGGTAAGAGATGTTTATCAGAATAAAAGTGATTTCTTGATACTTCTTTAAATTAGGAAAAGATTTTAAGTCTAAGAGTGAATCCAGAGCACAATGCTTTGCCTGATGTTTATTAGGGTTACAAAGAATAACAGGAAAAAAATTCTTAGGCTGGGATCATTCTGCTTCTGTTTTTGTAACAGCAAGGTGGTACTTCTCCTCCCCACCTCTCTAAGCCACAACCACAAACAAAGGAACACCATTTTTAGAAGTCACTTGTACCTGGTTATTGACAGGGTAGCCACTGGCACTTTGATTTTTTTGTTTGTTTTAGAAGGAAGTTACTGGGAATTGAGCACAAGGATACACTACCCCTAAGCTACATTCCTGGGCCTTTCTACTGCTTATGTTGGTATAGGGTCTTGCTAAATTGCCCAGGTTGGCTTTGAACTTGCCATCCTCCTGCCTTAACCTCCTGAGTCTGAGATTGCAGGAGTGTGCCACTACACCTAGTAACACATTTTATTGTGATTTTTCACCCTTCTTTAGAGAATATTTAAACATTTATACTAACAAGAAAGTAGTTGAAATCAGTTGATATGAAAGATTAGGCTAGTAATATGGATTACTTTTTTGCCTTTGAATCTCATTTTATTGGCCAAATTATTTACCGTATTTCAAAGTCAGTCAGTTCCAAATTGTATTAGAACTAGTTTTTGTCAGCATTTGAGCTTTGTAATAATAATAACCAGGTACACTGTAGCTTAAAAGCTACATTTGCTTTACATTTCCTTGGGTGATACCTTTCAAATTTATAGATTTGTAACCAGAGAATATGCTCAGAACTAAAACTGTGGTTTAATTGCATTAAAATAAAGTTAATTAATGTGTTAATAATTAACAACCACAGAATAAATTTGTTGTACCTCAGATTCGTTCAGCTCCAAATTTCCTTCTGAATTTTTCACACTTCTCTCTGCACTTGAGTGGCATTTTAAGTAAAATTATGTAAAAAAGGCCAACTTTTACAAAACAGCAGAGACATAAAACATTGAAAATTAAGTTTAAAAAAATAGAAATTTTGGATTTGAAAAGAGATGAGATATTCCCTCTGAGGCCAATATGAAAATAAAAGAATAGATAATAATATATTATTTTCATATGTCAATGAAAAAAGTGTCTTTTCAAGTGCTAATTATAAAAATTAAAGCATTAATTCTCATTGTGCCATTGCATCTTTTACAACATTGTAAGTAAAATTTGCCTACTAAGATGCTAGAAATATTAGTTATTGATGAATTTTAATTTATAAATTTTTATTTTTGATTCCTGATATCAGATTTTCTGTATTCCAGGGAACCCAAGGTCATATCAACAATGGGTACATACAGTAAAGGTAATAATATGCTTTCAAAGTTTCTTCTTTCACTGTGATATGGAGAAATCAGTAAAAGTATGCTATTTATACTTTGATACTTATTTATAATATTTGAAATGTGTGCAAATTTTCTCAGTGCACATATTCTTATTTTATGCTTATAGTTTGTTGATATTCATAAATATAATTTTAAATTTGAAAGTTTCTGTCTAGAGATAAATGACATATTTTGTAGAGCAATATTTTCTTCTCACTTTATACTATATTCCAGATAAGGAACTAGCTGGAATAGCCAGATTTCATGGAACTTTTATAATTTCTTCATAACATAGTTTGGTTAATATGACTTTTTAAAAAATCTCTCTTCTATTGATTAAACTTTACTACCCAATATTAAAACAGCTGATAAATATTTTATTCCCTTTTTATTAAGTTTTAAATATGTAGGTTTTACTATCCATGTTACTTGTCTGCAACTTCAAAGATAAAATGTCTTTTAAATGATGTAATATACCAACTAAAAAAACAGAATCAAATGTTTATAGTTAAGTTATTGTAGTATTTTAAAACATTAAAAAATAATTTTAAAAGGTATTTAACTTGTGAGTAAAATTATTTTTGTATACTACTAATAATGCTTTGTTTTCAGAACAGTTTGCCAAAAGTTTTTGGAAACATTTTTTTCTTTTGCAGAAAGGAGGTGCACTGTTCAACACAGCAATGACCAAAGCAACGCCTGCAGTACGGACAGCTTATAAATTTGTAAGTGTTTTTATGGTATTTAATAATTTTATCGATAGATTTATATACTCCCTAGAAGATACACATATGAATTCAAAATATTTTTCAATAAGCTTTAAAAAACTTTAGAATTAATATTGACCAACAGAAATTCAGCTAAAAAATTATCTTAGTGTATAGAAAGAGCATTTCCTTTAAATAATCTAAAAATGGTTCTTCATTTTATTTCAAAGCTACCAGCACAATTGTACAGCACATTAAAACGGTCCATGAGGAGGTATCATTTTGTAAATTTGATTCTTTGATTCATTTTAAATTCCCATTGTGCATTTGAGGCAGAAGTAGAAAAATGTGGCAATATCTCTTCTCTCACAGATTCATTGAGTCTCCAAAATTAAAATTCTTCAGTAATTCTCCATGGCATTTAGTAAATTACAATAACCACAGTAACAATGAACAAATAATAAATTTAAAATCTCTTTAAATATGATAATTAAGACCTTGCATTACCTGTTCCTTCCTGTATTCTGTTCTGTTTTCCCCAATTCTTCTGAAACTTTCATATGTCTGAACATACTTAGCAATGCCTTATATTTTTAATGCAAGATATTTTCTTCTGCCCTTCTATTCTTGTTCAAGTTGTTCCTACTACTTAGAACATCCATTTCTTGGTCTCTATCCATCTAGTAAACCACTGGTTCATCTATTAATGTCCCTTGGAAAAAAAGTTTTCCCAATCCCATGCCGAAAAAACAAACAAACAAACAACAACAACAATAAAAAAACAACTAAGTTTATAGAACTATTTCTATGGTTCCATTTGAACTGTAGGAACTTGCTTCAGCACTTTCTGTGTCTTCATATATGTTTATCTCTACACTAGACCAGTAGCTTCTCCAGGGATTTTCTAGTGGTAGTGAAGTTTTTTTGTTTGTTTGTTTGTTTGTTTTTTTAAGTTCAACAGGTCATATATATTCTATATTTCTAAGTATATTCAGGGTAGTAATTGTGATATTATAAAAATTTATCTTCAAGTGCTTTCTCAATAAATAATTGATATGACAGAAATAATAATAAAGTATTTTAATGTTTAGAATTTATGTTCTTTTCTTACATGCAATTGCAATATAAATGTAGTTACTCTTCCGATTGAAAAAAATCTGTTTCAAAGATTGCATTTTTTTTGGTAGGGGAGCTAATCTACAGAGTTGATTCAAAAATAAAGTTCTAACATTCTGAACTACTTGAAGCCATTTCATAAAGCGTTAAGTGAAAAGAAGTCATCAGTTTGCCTTAGAAACTTCAGCCTCTGCCTTTTGTTTGGTTTCCTCATGACTTTGCTGTTCTAGGAGATCACTGCCTCTAATGGGCTGATTTAAGTTGCTTTTGAAGGGAAATTTTTCACAATGAAATAGCACACAGCTACCAAGTGAAAAAACAACCTAATATCAAGCCTTGTTTCTCACACATACAAAATTCTAGATGCTAGGAAAGTTTTTGCAGTTAGTAGGCCCTCATTTTATTCCTGGAGCAAGCCTAGAGAGCTTGTATAGTTTTGCTAAATGTGTGCTTTCCTCCTGAATTTCACTCTTATCTTTTATAAAAGTACAATAATAAAACAAGCATGTACAGACTCATTCATTATTTAAAATTTGATCCTTCTAGGCAGTAGGATGTTTTCTTTTGAACACTTTTCTGCAAGGCAATGAAATCTTTTCAAATTAAGAATTCTGCTCTTTGGAGAATTATTCCCTAAATCAATTTCAACAAATTATGGTACTTAGAATATACTTAATAACTTCTTATCATTTATCTTGTATCATATCAGACATGAATCAAAAGGTTTGAGGCAGGTTAATCAGTTATTTTGTGACCTTCATAATTTTACCTAAAACTGATCTCTCCAGATTGCTCATGTTCTAAAATATGAGCACTAAAATTCCTTCTTTGACTATAAATTGCTATGAATACTACTTCTAATTTCTTTATGTGGGTATAACAGAAGTTATTTATTTTCTACAAGTGGCATATTTTTAAGCAGCAGAGGCCATGTTTTTGCCTCTGTTTTATACACTAAACACATTATTTCAATAACTGTCATGAACTGGGCCTCATTCTCATCATGGAGTTAGCTTAGCATATAAAGTACTGTAAGTAATTGAGATGCTATTCCTGATGTTATATTGATATTGGCATCATTTCACCCTGTGTTTTGAACATACTACTGAAGTACTGGATATGTATTTGTTGAAGTAAATAATGATTTTGTGCTGTATTTATATTTTTTCTATACTTATTTCTATGCTAGAAAGTTTTTTTCTCTGCTTTCTGTACTTTTCCATATTAAAAGGGCCCATAAAGCACTCAAGAGATGGAACACACATTCTCATAATTTAAGAATTACAGTAAAGTGAACTATATATTTGATTTGACTAAAAGATTTTCTAATTAATCTTTTCATTAGATCCTTGCATTAGTCAAAGCCATTTGTTTGGTGCGTTTCTATAGTGAATAGTTGCTGACATTGTTGAATGTCAGCTTGGTGAATTGAAAAGGATAGAAAGAATCTGCTCCATCTTCTAGGTAGTATGAAGGAAACCTAATGAGTAGGCAGGGTTGTATACATTTAAATTAATCAGTGCACAAATTGCAGAACTACGGAAGAGATTAGTACTAGCTTCAACTTGATACAGGAGAACCTGGAAAGATAAGTATGATCAGGTGGATTAGAGGATGTCTGGATAAACTAGAATATAGTCCAAATGCAGTAAAAGCAAAGATGGATACAAACTCTTAAGAGATGGGAACAAAAGCATTATTCCTTGGTAATTACATATTTTTACCAATGAAATACAGGAATTAATATAGGACCTCTTAATTAGATTAGGTAGCTTTATGAATGAAGAATGTGAAAGTGCTATTTATCAAGTCTAAAGAAGAATAGGATATAATTTAGAGTTATTGGCTTTTTGGATTACTTTTACTATGTAGTATGTTTTAGTTTGCTTCATTTACAATGAAGAATTAATTGTTTTATTCAGTTCAAGATATTCCTTATGGTATGCCAAATACTCTACTGATTACTACAGATATTAACAGGAAGGAAATAAGATCCTTCTCTGCAAAGAAATTGGGAAAGTCGTGTGTTTACTTTTTCTAAAAGCACCTTGAGAGATCAGGATGGGTTAAGTGGAGCATGGCCTTTGTAGTTGAAGTCTTTAGCATGTGTGTCTTCAGTTTCTCTGTCTATACAGTGAGGTTCACAATGCCTTTTTGGTGAGACTTAAATTCAGTGATTATATTTTTTACAACTTTACTTCTTCCTTTGAGAAGTTGGACTCTATAATTTTAATATAAATTAAAAGAAGAGAAGTTAGACTTTATAATTAAATAGATTGAGATTTGAATCTTGCTAGGTGGACTTATTATTCCTGAGTCACTTTCCTTATTTGTTAGATATGATAACAATCATGCTGAACTTCAACCTGTGATGACTAAAAGAAATAATGTGTGGTAAGCACTCAGCACACAATCATGTATTTAGGAAACAGAAAATAAATGTGTATTCCTTTCTTCTCCTTTTTCACTCTGGCCACAGTGAATGGGAATTTCAAGTAGAGCAAAGGCTAAGGCTTTTGTGAAACTCCCAGTTGTCTTTAGTTAAGTTATACTCCACACACTTCACAGCAGGACTTGGGACACTCAAATCTGGAGCCAAACTTTGGTGAAAAACAGATAGCCTTCAAAGTGTTAAATGACTTTTAATTTTTGCCAGAAATATATATATGAAATAGATATACCATCACAATGGATTTATTTGTAAAATTTCTGTGACTGCCTATAAAAGCACCTTAATAAAATTTTGTAAAGTTGCCTGAGTTTCTTGAAGTTTAAACATTTGCCCCAATAATTTTCTGGTGTGATATGCTTCCTCTTTGCCCCTAGCTTGTCCCAATTTTAAATTAAGCTGTACTTTAGAAATCTGGTAGATCCCCCTTGTGTTTTTTATAGGTTACCAGACAAAATAGACTAAATGTTAGCCTTTGTGTGATTTGTGGAAATATTAAATACAGCCTAATTATGATTTAATTTAGGTATAATGAAATAGTGAATGATGGTGTCCTGGAAAATAGTTTTAGGTTATAATCAGCTCCTTTTCTAAATAATGCAAATAGTAATTCTAAATGTGATCATGTGTACTTGTTTTTAAAATGTTAATAGAACTATGCTGAACCAGACACATTCATTATCATTTTCTAGGCAAAAAACCACGCAAAGCTGGGATTGAAGGAAGTGAAGAGTAAACTGAAGCACAAGGTGCGTGGAGTTGTTTCCTTCTACCCTCACTGTTGTCTTCATCTGAAGCTTATATGTTTACAAATCACATGAGACTTATGTTTTTAATGACTTTTGAAATATGCTTATCCCTTTGTTCAAAAATGTATTTTTCATAACAAGCCCTCTGGCAACTCTCTGCCATTCTATATGCATACACTGAACAATCTCTTTATTGTTTGCATGTTTTATCACAGAACTGTGGAGATCTTCAAAGATGATTAACCGGATGTATGTTTTCATAAAGTTGATTGCCTTGATATTACAATTGAAGTTCTTGCTTCATGCTGAGAATTTTTTTTAAAAAAGATACCTTTGAAATAGAATTAATTCAGAAATGCCATTGTTTGGTTTAGAGGCTCTTTGCAAAACAGTTACTTTAAATTGAAGAATATTCTTAATTTTGTATATGAGGATTTATATTTAAATTTATGATATTGCAGGTATTTGAATAATTATGTCAGTATATGTGTATTTTGTTTGATTATACATTATGATAGATTTTATTATAAATTGTTACAGTTTTTACTTTCACCTTTCAAGAAAGCATAATAATTGAAATTTTCAGAGTAGTTCAGGTTATTCAAGAGTTTATTATGAAAATTCACATTTTAGAAGAATGTACTTTGTTCCTAAATAGACTATTTAAATTTTATAGTTGAAGTGTTTTTTATTGTATGCATGTGTATCAGATACTAAGTCTATTAATCAAATAACTTTGGTAATAGAATAAATATGCTAAAATAATTCCTTGCTCATTTTTTCATGTATAGGAAAATGAGGAAGACTATGGGACCTGTTCTGGTTCGGTACAATATACACCAGTTTACACTTTACACAGCGAAAAGGGAGGAAACATAGAAAAGCGTAAGCTTGCCCAGGTAAGGTCATTTACCCTGTTGGCTGCATGTTCTAAAATTACATAATTTTAGTGAATTCTTTAAGGACAGTTTTGGACCCATTAATTTTTTGTCTCATGATAAGAAAACCTGCAGTATTGTCGAGGAAATGATGGTGGATTCTGGGTATGAGATTAAGAACCAGATGTCCTAGCCATCAGTTTCTATATATAGGTTGAGCATCCCTAATCTGAAATCCACAACCAAAACTAAGCACTCAAAACACAGGTGCACTATAATATTTATAAAAACACTGAATAAAATTATCTTCAGGCTATATAAAATATATATGAAACACAAACGCATTTTGCATTTAGACTTGGGCCCCATGCCCAAGATCTCATGTAGATGCAAATATTCTAAAATCCTAAACTCCCAAATCTAAAACATTTCTGGTCCTGAGCATTCCAGATAAGGGATGCTCAGCCTGTACTTCATCATGTCATCACAGAGCTCATAATCCAGTGGGGTGAGACAAATATTTGATTTCCATAGAGTATGAACACCGTGATGATGAACAAGAAATTACAGATTTCCTTTACTACAAAAAATCAAAGGAAACTCATATACAGACATTTGTTTACTAAAACAGTCTGTGAAAACCTCTGTAGAAGCTGCTCAACTTACAATGGGGTTACTCCTGATATAAACCCACCTTAAGCTGAAATATTATAATTGAAAATGATTTTATACACCTAATTTACCAAACCTTTACCTTAGGAGCACAGTATACTGTGGAGTTGTTTGCCCTAGTGACTGCATGGCTGATTGGGAGCTGTGGCTCACTGCCATGTCCAGAGCTGAGAGAGGGTGTTGCATCACATATGACTTGCCTGGGAATAGTCCACAGCTTGCAGTATGGTTTCTTCTAGAAACATGTTGCTTTTTCTTATCATTATAAACTCAAAAAATTGTTTAAGTTGAACCATTGTAAATTGGGGGCTCTCTGTATATCTAATACTTTTCAGAGGTAGATATTTTACTTGCTAGGAATATTTAAAGCTTCTGCCTATATGCTAATGCCACTTAAAAGACAGTGGTAAAGCTTTCCGAATCATAGCATTGTTTGCCTCTCATTTAGTATCAAAAGTATATTTCTGTAGGTTTTTAACCAAGGAAAATTTGTATCCATCAAATTATATTTTAAATGCTGTTAGAAAACAATGTTTAAAACAGAATTCTTGAATGGATATATAAATTACAAAAACCAATAACTAGAGAGTAGCTACAAAGCTTATTACAGCCACCAAAGTTTATAAGCAGAAGTTGATGGCTAGAATGGTCCCATCACAAGGCAATTTGCCTTAAGTTTCATAACTAGTCAGTGGCAGAGGAGGTATAGAAGTTTATTTCTAATGCTTAGTTAGCTTCCAGGGATAGCTGGATACCGAAGATTATGGATGGCCATAAAATGCAAATATGTCTTTGTGTAAGTCTATTTTGTGCTGCTATAACAGAACACCTGAGACTGGATAGTTTATAAAGAACAGAGCTTTATTGCTCATCTTTCTGAAGGCTGGGAAGTTCAGGGCAAAGGCATGAGCATTTGGTAAGGCCATTATGTAGTGTCATCAAGGGGCAGAAGGGAAGGTAGAGAGCGAAAAAGAACAAGACGCCAAACTGACCCTTTTATAAGGCACCAGTACCACTTCTGAGGGTGAGCCCTCCTAATCTAATCGGTTCTTAAAGGTCCCATTGTTACACTGCAGTTAAATTTAACATGACTTTTGGAGGGAGCAAACATTCAAACCATAGCAGTCTTTAAGAATGGGAAAGGGCCAGTAAAGCTGTACTAACATCCTAGACATTTGTAAAGAAAACCCATTCATTTGATAGTTCAACACCTACTGTGTGTTAGGCACTTTTCTACATATAAAGTATGTATATAGAAGGAAAACTGAAAACTTCTGTTTTCATGGGACTATTCTGTAACATGTTAAGTAGTTTCTCTTCATTTTCTACTTATTAAACTGATATCTATATCTAGTTATATTACTATATCTAGTTATATTACTCTGAAATGATTAGAATTGCTTAATTGCAGCATATTGTTAGTGCTTGTGAGCTAAACGAGCCCTTCAATAAAGCCCTTATTCCCTATAGAAGCTTTTGTGGTCACTATTAACCGAAAAACATTAACTTGTAAACTAATGATGTGTTTGCTATTGATATTTTTGATTCTACTCTCCTCACAAGTATGTTCAATTCTTGTCTGTTTTCAACCCTTAATATCTTAAAAAAAACTTTATAGAACAATTTACTGGCTTAATAATGGGACATTTAGATCATAATTACCATGGCAAAAAAGATTTTTATATGAAAAAATATGAGATCTTTTTTACCTGTAGGATGCTTGAAGATGAAAACAAAATATGTAAATTAAAGAAACTCTTAAATGTCAGTTTTAAGTTAAACTATTGTCAGGTTTTTGTATTTAAAACTATTCCTTTCTTTTAACATGACATAACATGTCTAATATAATTTAGTTATAAAATCGATTTTTTAAATTTCTGGTTTTGTTTTCTGCTAATTCCTAGAGATAAATTTTTCTTCTTATTGTGTACACTTAAGGTCTACAAAGATATTTTGATATACGTGATAAAATGTTTACTCAAGATAATTAACATATCCATCACCCTCCCAAGTTACCTTTAGTGTAGTGAGGGCACCTAAAAGCTACTTCCTTAGCAGATTTCCAATATAGAATACAATATTAACAATTGTGATCAATACACAGTACATTCTGATCAAAAAAGTATATTAGGTCATAGAAAACCCTACATGATAACAGGTCCCATTCATTGTATGAATCTTCAGGCTGTCATTTGTTGTCACATCACTAAGTTACTGGTGTTTGTTAGTTAGCATTATATGAGTTCTCAAGAAGATGTGACAGAAGTGATGGCTATAAAAAGAATTGAGAAGTAGGGCTTATTCTTTTATGAATTCTATTGTTATATCATGTGCATGTATGACTTTAACAACAAATTTTACCATTATGTACAACTAAAATACATCAATAGAAAATATGGAGACAAACAAAAAGCCAAATCATAAACCATGAAACAATGTCATTCACCACCGCCAAAAAAAAAAGAATTCTAATTACTATATAGGAATTTCTTCATCATATTTATAATTATGATGCAGAAATTAAGAGTGTCTAGAAAATCTTTACATTTTAAGTGATAAGTATCTAGTTTCAAGAAGCCTGTATACCCAGTATATTTCCCATTATATCAGTGGATTCGTATATCCAAGAGTCCTTATTTCAATAGCTAAATATATTCATATGTCCAAACATTTGTGTCCTAATATTTTTTTAAAATTTAATGTTTTATTTATATTTTTCTATCATTGAAGTTTGTTTGATTTTAGATTCATGTATATACTTATCAAAGAGTTAAATTTGTGGCCAGAGAAACAAGAGAGAGTACCATGTTATCAGGGACACTGGGAGGTAATAAGAGTGAGTAGGGTGATCAGGAGAAGTAATCTCAGAGAAGGGTTTTAAGAGCTGTAACCATATCTCATAAAATGTCTATCATTTATAATTGCTTTATAAAACTATTTGCCAAAAAGTCATCTTGGAGCAATTCTTTCATTTTTACTTTCCATCTTAATTTTTTCTCCCAAGTCTCACAGAATTCATGCTTTCTAATAATGCTAATTTTACTTCTTTGAGATGAGTTATATTACTCTGAAATGATAGCCTGTTTGTGGCCAGAGGCTTATTTCTAAAAGCAGAACATGGTGTATTCAAATTGAAATTGTCCTAATCCTTTATTTGAAATATTTATTTATTTTTTTAGTGTTTAGCAAATTTGCACAAATGAAAAAAACAGTATCAGGACATTTGTGATCCAATGATATGGGTATTCCTTCAATATCTAAGTTAAAGAATATACGTAGGCCTGTGATAGAACTGGAAACAGGAAATGGAAAGAGCAGTCAGGGAAGAATGTCAGCTTCCCTTCACTTGCCCCTGCAGCACCTGGTCTGTTCTATGTTCATTGTGCATTCTGTATACATTGTGCATTCTGTATACTTTGCTTCTCTGTGCCCTGGTATAAATCTTGCTGGTCCTCAGTTGAAGCAGCTACTACTCGAAATGGAGAGGAATTCCAGAATCCAATTCCTTATGGAAGGAGGTAATCAGCCCACTTGGACCCAGCATTAATCCTTGGTTCAATAAACTCCAGCCAGAGAAAACAGAACGAGACCATGTTATCAGGGACAGTGGGAGGTGGTAGGAGTGAGTAGGGTGATCAGGGGAAGCAATTCTCAGAGAAGGGAATTTCAGTACTATGACAGTATCTCATAAAATGTCTATTATTTATAATTGCTTTATAAAGCTATTTGCCAAAAGGCAAACAAACAAAAAAACAAATCCATATTGTTAAGTTCCTAGAAGCTGGATCTATGTACTTATCTGAAGGTAAGTTTAAGGTCAGCCTACCCTAATGTTCTCTTGCCTTAATTCTCACATGACAATTGAGCCACTTCCACAAGCAAAAAAAAGGTTACAAGCAGAAATAAATTTAGAATACACTATTTGCATGTTGAGCAAAGAAATCGAGAGGGGACAGCCATAGTTTACTGCTCTTCTTTGTAGTCTATTACTGTAGAAGCTTCCTTGGAGCATCCATCTTTTAGAAATGATACAATCCCATTGATTTAATAAAAACATGAGCCACTATATTGTGGATGAGACAGAAAGCTGCTGCTAGAGTCATGAGCATATTCTTTTAGGCTGATTTCCAAATCAATTATTTTTTTACTCCTAATTCCTCATGTATAATAATATGAGTAGATTAAATTTTTAACTAATTATGTAAATATTTCTAGGAAAAGTTAAATGTGGTTAAAATCAGAATCTAGATATCACTATGTACTGCAGTAACACTAATTCTTATTTATTCATTTATATTTTGCCTATTTCCAAAAATACAATTTAACACCTTACAAGTAATCATAGAAGA